GGCTCCCAAAATTTTGGGAGTGAGGTGAGGAAGTGGCGTGAAAATCAACGTGTTTATTCCCGCCATTTCCGCTTCATCATTGCTTCTTCTCGGCAAAGCTCTGTAATGGATGGTCTATTAATTACTTCCTTCATCTTCCCCACCCTTGAATGGCCCCATCATTGATGCCGTGACTCTCAGGAATGCTTATGGTGACAGGAAGTTGTACGGTGACCGTAAACTGCTTTCACATCTGCATGGAATGGAACTTGAAGGTTCGTATCGAAATGCAGCTACTAAAATTACATATTTCGAAAGGCTTGAGTATAATTATTGTTTTCCACAATGCGTTTATTAAAACCTATACGGCAGTATAGGTAAATATATGGTAAGTGTCACTCTACTTAATAGTTGATTGCTGAGTTCCATAGCAATTACGGGTTCGTATTATCAAATTAAACATAAATTATCTGTGATCACTTTACTCAAAATTAACCGCTTAAACAGTATACTCTTCGCTTATATATTCCCTACCGTGAAGAATATGATTCTGATTGTGAAATATTTTGAGTTTGGAATTTGCGCACAACATGGTTTCCAATGTATATGTGAAAATGATAGAGTTGAGTAGCTACGCATACATCATGCAACTGGTGTACTTCCTCCTTTTTTACTGGTGATTGGATGAAAATGTAACTCCGCTCAGACAGTGTCATTGTTCTCATATTTTTGGTGTAACAAAAGAATAAAGCCAATGAGTTTTAAATGAGTTATGAAGCATAAGATGCAGTCTATCGTTTGTCAAGGATGCGATGACTTGAAATTAAGACGTATTTTTTTGCATGCGACTCGCACGCTGCTCGGTATTTTGCTTACTTAAGCAATTTGGAATCGGTTACAATTATTGGACGTCAATACGCTGATCATAACTCCATGGTCCTCAAGAGAGAACGCGATGTGACATCGATGTTCCAGCCGTTACCATATAAGGTATTTGGACCGGCATGCACGCAGCTAACGGTGGAGTGCTTATACCGGATTGTTACGACCATGCAGTTAGCCTGAGAAGGAAACTGCGTTGCAAGCATGCAAGCAAGTGCTTAACGCAGCGCCGTGTTTGTAAATGCACAGGAAAGCGAGGTAATTATTTCCTTCTGACCAGCACTTATTTACGATGACAGTGACAGTAAGCATGGACGTGTCAGTTCATCAAAATGATGGTGTTGAAAAAAAGACATAAGAATATCATCATCGTTTTTAAAGGAAAATGAGCTATGAACATTATTATTTCCTGTTTGACTCCAAATGGAGCCAATAACCTATTTTTGAGGATATTTATATGACTCCAGTCTACTTTTCCTGTAATATCGACTTTGTGATTTCGTTCTTTTCAATGTAATTAGAGTTGTCTGTCTTCCCCAAAGATAATGGTCCGCTGTCAAAAAAGTAGAGACATTGATTAGATTTTGTATTGGAGTATCAGTTGCGCAAAATGTATGATGTCCTCAGGAATACCTGCACTCTACTGAACAGAAGTGTGGGTGCTTAGAAATGATCATCACGGACAAGAATAACGATAGCTATATTCAATATCGTGATAAAATGAACTGCGTCAATGAATTTTCGCAGCAATGAGTCCCGACCGTATCATCCATGGATAGTGTCTGCATGGGAGAAACATTTCATTTTCTAAGACTAGAAAGCGATTAACTTGATCATACGATAATTTTTGAATTCGTGGTTTACTTTCCATTTCAGCAAACTAATAATATAAATACGTATTTCAGTGTTCAGCCCTTGAAAATTGTTCCAAGTTTTCACCAGTATAGAAATGCACACGCCTTTTCTAAGATATTCAATTGAGATAATTATTTAATGGTGTTCAAATCAGAACCACTAGAATATTTTGTAAGCCGTTTATTTACGTCAGGGAAACTCTCACGAAAACACATTATGTTTTATCTAAAATATATAAAAGCGATCAATTTGAATTACGACGAATGCATTTATTTGTTATTCACAGCTAGCGAATGGACAACGTGTTCAATGAAAATTGATGTGTTTCTTGTTATATTCAAGAATCAAAATTAACTTTAAACTTGGGCCATTTAAAACCTAACGCTTTCACTAACAGAACGGTCTTGTTTTCGCTATGAATAGAAGTGAATCGACCTTGTTTCCTGGTGGCCGCCATAAACATACACGAACATACGCCATACACGTAAACAAAAGCTCAGCGGCGTTATGAATCATAAAAACAGCATCACGTCTCAGCCCTAAAGTTCTAGGAACTCCTTTAGCCTACTTACTTACATTGATATACGAGCGCTCTTTGTCTCACCTAATAGAGGCTCCATCATTTAGTCGATGGTGAGTGATTGGTGACTGACTCAGTCATGTTGACAGCTCTTAGCAACTAATCGCAGGCTATAATGTGCTTGCAGCCGCGATACCAACACTCAACTTCACACTCAGTTTATGAAAGTTGCTCCTAATATTGCCGCCAACAGTGAACTATTATCTACCATTTGACGGCATTTAACTAGCCACATCGCTACGATTCTATTGCACTTAATATTATGCTCACTCTAGTTTTTAGTGCTCTGGAGAATAAGTATGTTTCAATAAATTTGTCATGAACTACGGTACTGTACGTTGCGAGGGGACAGAGTTAGGTTATAAACAAATTGCCAGCAAGGTCATTACTTTGTAGGAAACAAACAGAACGAATTGAGGGGTAATTCAAGAGAATATTTTACTGACTGTACTTTAATCCGTTCAAATGAGGAGAAGTCGTCGTAATAAGTTCTGATACAGGCAAAGTTTACGCGTTACAATGTCTTTGCCTTCGAGCTTCGCTCATTGAAATGCTCGTTGACTGGCTACGCCTGATCAGCCAGCTGCACGTGAATGCCAGCTGCGTCTAGCGAGCCATGCTACACGCGTGAGCCACCTGCGCTTGGTGAGCCAGCTACACGCGTGAACCACCTGCGCTTGGTGAGCCAGCTGCACGCGTGAACCACCTGCGCTTGGTGAGCCAGCTACTCGCGTGAACCACCAGCGCTTGGTGAGCCAGCTACACGCGTGAACCACCTGCGCTTGGTGAGCCAGCTACACGCGTGAACCACCTGCGCTTAGTGAGCCAGCTACACGCGTGAACCACCTGCGCTTAGTGAGCCAGCTACCCGCGTGAACCACCTGCGCTTGGTGAGCTAGCTGCACGCGTGAACCACATGCGCTTGGTGAGCCAGCTACACGCGTGAACCACCAGCGCTTGGTGAACCAGCTACACGCGTGAACCCCCTGCGCTTGGTGAGCCAGCTACACGCGTGAACCCCCTGCGCTTGGTGAGCCAGCTACACGCGTGAACCACCTGCGCTTGGTGAGCCAGCTACACGCGTGAACCATCTGCACTTAGTGAGCCAGCCACACGTGTTGATTTTGTATGCTGGTTCATTTGTCTATATTGTCTCTCAGGTAAATATACCAGGCTAATCTGATACTACCGTCCGAGAACGCCGGGTTTACCTGCTAATTTCGAAAAGTGACTGATTCCTAGAATTCCTACTTTACGGATAGGAATTTTGTGTGTAAGTGTGCAAGCTATAAAAATTTCTATAACACGTTTCTCGAATTTAATCCAAAGTTTCCAAGCAAAGAAAATATCGAGTAAATTCTCCCTTTAAAAATTGAAGGGTCTGAAGCTAATTTAACAGCCCAACAGCGTAATCCGTATCTGAATTACTCTCTGTGTGAGTGTGCCCACTCGCACTATGGGCAATTATGATCAGCATTTACTAGGGCGAATGCAATTAATAGATTATCTTAAAATCGAGCGAAATAAATCTTCACTGCTCGGATTCGTGATTTCGGTCCACCAGCCTGAACTTTCTTGCGCTAATTAGAAATAATAATTCGACGAGTCGCAACCGCGACCCGGCGGCTTAATTTCACCGAGTTTCCAATCTGACTTCCTGTTTCTATGATTTCTCTCATCATTTCACTAATTATTTGCCGACTTGTGTTTTTTATTGCGTTTCTTATTTGCAAAATAGATTTATTAAAAAAATTAATTCCGGCTATTTGGACCATCAATTGTACGAGAGTTATGTATCGTTAGCCTGTTAGGTAGGCAAGTTTTCCTAACAGTTTCTTAGTTGTTCAATTTTTTCACTCATTTGAGCCGAAATGATGTATTTCGATATAATCTAAATATGTCTAACTATATTTTTACAAATATATCTTGATTAAATTTTCCGTTGCAAATAATTTACACAAATATTGTTCCTGCCATTGATATAAACGACTAAATTTCGTGAATTTCATCTATACGGCAAATTCCATGATATGAAAACAGAATAGTCTCTACTCAAAGGAGTTTTCTTTTTTATAGAAAAATGTAAACGCGCAATACTGAGATATTTTATGCACAATCTAACATTTTGCGTTATTATTTATCTACGTATGTTTAGAGTGATGACTGTGTTGTGCCATCACTCCCTTATGATAGTAACTCTTAATTATATATATACTATGAAAGTGGTTAACCAGATAATTAATTACACAGACGTCTTGATTATTTTGATCCTTACTGTCCTCGGACCCGTGATTAGGCAGCTACGGTAAGCCAACGATATCGTTGCGTTGACGATAATAACGATATCGTTGACGATAATAACGATATCGTTGAAAACGATAACGATATCGTTGACGCTCCGAGTATGAACGCCTTCAAGAACAGACTAGACGAAGCTATGCAGGAGCGTATGTTCAGTCTTAAAATGCCTCGCAAATTACGGACCAGACAATAAGTCCAGCAGCTATCTTAATCAATCGTCAGTTATGGAAAGATCGGGTTCCAAAGGCCGGATCCCTTGTGAATCAAGTCACGAAAATTTAAGAATCGGCAACAGGCCATGGGCCTATTTCTTCAGTGCCGATACTTCTATTCTATTCTATTGTCATTAACAAAATTGTATGATTACATCGACTCCTAATTATAATGTTTTACTCCGTTCCAGGTTCCCCGGGCTGTAATGAAAAGGACTCAGCACCAAGAAAAGAAAATCAACGATCAAAATTGAGATCTTGCAGACACATCAGTGACATCACGCAACTCGAGTCACCAGGGAACTCCAAGACCAAGGAACATTCCGAAACTATTTTCATTCATATCCTATCTATAAAATTTCTTTACTAACGTGGAATTTTGTTGTTGGTAAAGAACTAACAGCTTCACTGATATATGTTATCTTGACACTCTGTTTTTTTAAACGCCCATTCATATTAGCACAAAACAAGTGGGGTCATTAAACTAGGAATTTATTGAGCTCTTCATTGTACGCGGATAGAACTGAAGAATGTGTAGACGCTCGTGACAACGTTCTTTAAGGCAATAACTGCGGTATTTATTTCAAACGGATCATTATTTTTCCACAAAATTTGGAATAGACAGCATGCTTCTTGACACTTACACACTCATATCAGGCATCCCAATTTAGCGGAAAGTATATTTTCAACTTTTTCTGGATGGTAAGTTTCTGGTGTTTAATATGCGTGTATATTATTGATAAACAAATAAAGCAATGATATATTTCGAATTTGCCAAACGGTGCAAATTAAATCTTGTTGCGCAGTATTTGTTGCTAGTGTTAAATAAATTAAATAATAATGACATGTCAATTGGCAAATAGACTTAGATCAAATTTATGCGCCAATCCTCTTAGTTTTGCTGAATTTTTAAAAATTTTTTATATATTATTATTCAGTGGTATTTTGATAATCAACAATTTCACCGACATTTGTTCCAAAAATCATCTTTTTTCTATCATGATCCGGCCATCAAAAAACGATTTTCCGTAATATCGTAGCTACTCGATATCAAATGAGTATTATTCAATCAAACAACGAAAGCAATGAAATGGCTAAGAATGTCTCTGCTTATTTGCTAACTAATTTTGCGTCAGAGTTTTGCTGGTCGTCTCATACCCTGAAGACTATTCCTGAAGTGTTCTGCCACCAAAGCTGCAAACTCCCAACCCAAGGGTCATCGAAACTTTTTCCTTTGGCCGATTACGAAGGAAAATCTTCAGCCTCCCAATTTCGGGAGACGTCAGAACTCTGCGTTCCAGGGAACAATTTTGGCTCACAGTCTGCGCATGCGCCGTCCAATACTGCGATGGGTATTGGCTCAAGTGCCCTGAGAAGTGACGTCTTCTATGGTGGTCTTAGAGGCGAAGTGGAGACTGGCTGGATTATTAACAACGCTCTGTTGGATTTTGCAGAAGAAATGCATGATGATATTTTTGATGTCAATGGACATTTAATATCGAACGCAGTATTGGCAGATGGTTCAAGTTTTGATGATTGTGGCACAACAGAAAATACAAGCACGGAGACACCTGACGGGCAAGCAAGAAGCAGCAGGAATATCATTACTGCAAGCAACGAGTGTGTTAGTCCTAAGGAAAATGAAGGCCAAACAAAATTGAACGTAGAAACAACTGGTGAAGTCGTCGGAGCCGAACCTACTGCACCACAGAATACGAAGATAGAACAAATGAATTCAAATGCGTTCCTGCCGAGTTTCTATGGTTCAATAGATAAAGATTCCAATAAATTTAAAAAAATGACTGAGTTGACAACCGAATGCTTGACATCTTCGTTACTAGTGGATAATCGAAGTATTGGTTCAGATCCCATAAAATTAACCCTGCAAAAAAGTTTTAATCCGAATGAGTGTTGTCAGTCTACCAGAAAGTCAAAGAGTGCTGAAATACTGTGTCACGGTAACTCAATCATTGCGGTTAAAAGCGATGTGAATAATATTGATACCCTAGAAACATGTGAATCGGAAAGAGTTGAGTCTTGCACTTCAGAAAATAATAACCGACCTGGGAAAGCTCTAAAACCGACCAATCGAGAAATCACGGTCGAAAATATGCCTAAATCTTTATCTTTTGAAGAGAGGAGACATTCAACTCCAGAGCCAATACCGATCACAGAACACTCTGATGGGAATGGAAATACAAAAGAAGAACTAGAACTTGAATGTAAAGACGATGAATCGAAGAGCAAAGACTTTAAATTAAACGTGTCATATGAAAGTCATGTGAACAATCCAATCTACTTCATGAACAAATCAATTCAAACTGACTTGGTGAGGGAGTCCGAAGACGACGCATTTCCCAGCATCGTCTCGAGCGACAGCGGTGTTTTCGTGCCAATCTGTGTCGGTACTGAAAAAGACGACTTATCTTTTGTTCTGCAACGAGCCTCGGCCGAAGGTAACAGCCTCAGTGAGTGCGAATCACTTCAGAGTGAACTTCTATCCAGTCTGACTGAATCGAATGAGCTAGGGACTAACAGTTTCAGTTCCCCGCTAAGCGGTAAGCTATTCAAAGAGTACCAGACAGCTCATGCAACTTTTTCTTTCGATTATCGATCCCAAATCCACCCCGCGATGTCGATTGGACGGTGCGCGTCGGAGGAGGGCATTTTTTCTCCATCCGATGGAGATGAATCTAATGGCTGCAATGAATCTTTCGATACGAGTTTCACTGAACATTTGGTCCATAAAACATTCAACTCGATATACACTAAAGACGAGACCGACTTTGTTACTTCTGACCACGAAGAATTAAAATCAAAACATTTCAAGGATTCTGAAACTAATATTTTCACTGCTTCTAATTCTCGCGAGACAAAAGTTAAAACAGCACCTAAGGAGCAGCAAAAACGTACAGAACTCATGAGAATTTCGTTAGAGGATTTAGATATCCAAGCTCGTTGCACGAGTGATCTGCCGAGCGCTGATTTGAAATTTGCCGATAAAATGTGTGAATTGGACGAGCTTGCAGGCACCCAGCAATTGAGTGAAGACCTAAAAAATGCCATAAGACGAGCGATACTCACAGAAAAAGAAATCAATGAGCGTGAAGCCAGGTGCGTTGATAACGACCAATCAGAGAAAAAGATCGAACATTCTAATCAAAATTTTCCACGAATTAATGGAGAAACAAATAACAGTTCTAAACCAACAACTCTTACAGATGTGAAAAATGGATCTTTGGGGCGTTCGCCAAATAAGCTCGACTACGTCAAGCAACGGAAACTCGTTAAACCTAAAGAAGCTGCCGATAAAGTTGTGAAGCATGATTCATCTTCTCGAAAATCTCCTGTTTCATTTCACAACGAGAATAGAATAGCAGTGGTTGACAAAAATCATCCAATATATAATTTAAGGCTCCGATTGGAAACTCGCAACAAAAGAAGCGCAGAAGAAACAAGAACGGAAGAGTCCGCGCTTCTGTCGGAGTACTTGCGCATCCAGCATCGCATAAGTTCCTTGCTCTCCGATGTAAAAAAGATGTCACGTGAAACGCGCAACTGGAAAATGGAGTTCACTTCATTGCAGACCCGTACGAACAGCATATACGACGAGAGAGACGACCTCTTGAAACTCAGAGACAGCTTAATGAAAATATAGAATCTCATTGAGAGCTTCGAACAGTATTTATATTGAATGGGGCGCTGAAAGTCAGAGAAAGAAAGTGAGAGGCTAAATTTGATCAAAGTTGAGAATCTGAGCGAGCCGTATGAACTTTAAAGGAATAACTTTGCCAATGGCATTTACTATTATGTTGAGGCCAATAAATTTTTCTGAATAGTATTGCAGAAATATCGGAAATACCGCCTGAATGCTGAAGTATATTTTTGAGAATTAGTGGCTTTATTATTAATTTATCGATAAATTGTTATTATTCTGTGGATAATTTGTATATGTACAATTAGTGTACAATGTAGTAAGCATAAACTGTGTCGTAACTGCACAATACACGCTTTACAGTTTACACGGTACGATTATGTCTACCTTTGTTGTTCTAAGTGTAAAAATTTACCAGTTGAAATTCAAAGTTACGTCATGATTTGTTTCAGCTGGAACAAATACTAAAACATATATCAGGTCAGTGCGTGCTCAATTAAAGATTTATTCGCATTTATACAGCTTCGCATTCATGGTAATGACAATTCTTTTACTTATTGTAACAATTTTTGGAATGCTTACTGCAAAACTGAGCTTAATGCAATCGCTTGCTCAGTTTTCCTGGTAATAAAAGACCGCAACTTGTGATTGTATTTAAAAATCGATGCAATTTTCTTACATGTGTATAATAAATGTACCACAATGTAACTATAATGTATAATACTCTTCGTAATCGAGCTTATATAAGCATGAAGTATTAACGTATCTAAATGAAAATTTTGAGCGCAAAAATTGTTATTGTTATTGCGCAAAAACAAGATAAATTATTTTTAGAGTTAACTAGGCAAGCTTTTGTGGACAGGTCAAAAGTTGTTCGATTTCTGCTAAAATTTTGGCGCGTCTTCACTGAAGTAAATGTATGCGTTTTTTTATGAAATAACAAAAGTATCTGATGTAAGAAATTGGAAAAACGTCTTAAGGCTGCGATTTTCTTGTTGGATGAAAGAAGTCGCAATTAAATTTGACACACTGTAGCCCTCTTGTTTATCATGAATTATTTGTCAGCTGTCGTTCAAAATATAAATCTTTTGTTTGTAGCGTATATAATAAGTGTTAGAGATTATTGAACTGTTTTTAATTTCTTCATCATTTGTTTCATTATCACTCCTTTCGTGATCAAGTGCATTGTTGCGGAAGCTAGATACCTTTAATAGACTCTCCTAAGATTTAATTATAACTAACAGATGAATAATATCTTTAAGCGTTGATTTCTCCGCATAAGAACAAATTCGCGGGTTAATGACCAATTAATCCATGACAGCCGGCGTAACTAAATCATTGTAACTGCTCGCGATGACGTAGTTATCTGAATTCTGAATTGGGGAACTGACCAACACCCAACCAGCCCATTACCTTTTATTGAACACAAATATTTCAACTGATAGTTGAAACAGATGGAATCTATGCTCCAATGAAGGGGAAATATCCAAGTAGTGGATTATACGGTCATTAATATTTACCAGCATTTATATCTTCCATCTTCCGGAAGCATTTATCTGATGAGTTATCCATCAGATCCCTTTCCAAGTTATTTCCAGTTTCCTATGGCTTATCCTTGGGGCAACTACCTCGGACGTCTAGGAATGCTAGAATACCTCATCACGCAACACTCCAACACTTTAAGGATGATAATTTGTCCTCAATGATGATTTAGCAAGAAATGATTTAGCCATCGTGCCAGTGAGGTTCATCGTGCTTGATAATATAATCATGTTTACGTGCATGGCGTCAAACGGGATGCATGTTAGACGTGATGAGCGTTGGCTACAGGGCAAGTTCAAACGCAGTTTCGGAGGACTGACGTCCTCGTCAGTAGTCAGTATAAAAATATAACTCAGTACTCACTGCAGTGAGTGACAGAGAATGCATTTTCTCGTCGACGAGAACTTGAGGTCACGGACAGACGGACAGACAGACAGACAGACGGACGGACGGACATGGCGAGCACAATAGTGCATTTTTTCCATAAATGAGAAAATGCGCTAAAAAGGTTACATTAATTGAATTGAGTCTCATTATCAAAATTCATCGATGCAAGTTCATGAGTAAACTTAATACGTTGATTAACTGAGTTGTCCGTAATAAACAAGTAAATAAGAACTAATTAAGTAAGATGTCAACTGGTACAAAGCAAGACTCAGGAACAACATAGAACGTAATCCTAAATGAATATCATATGCCCTATCCTATGAAAGAAGAGAGAGGGTCTACCGAGAGGGAGAAAGTCTTCTTGAATTTTTAGGTATTAATTTTTTCTTGTGTTTCTTCTCAGCGGCTGTCTTCATGGGGCTCGCCAGTAGGAAAGAAGGCATTAAAATTGTTCATACGACTAGATTACAATATAGATAATTTTTTATAATTTATTATCAGCCCAATTGTTAGTGGATCTTTAGTGAGCTTCTCCAGCTCCTTATTTATTTGCGTTAATTGGCTTTTGCAATGGCCATCATGGAGTGGTTAGGTTAAAGTTATTTTGTCCCCGAATGTAAATGAAGTTGAGAATGATTGAACTACTCGGAAATAGGTTTACATAAGATTCAACATCGATTATATAATTACAATTAATAGTGAGTTTGGTTAATAAATGTGCAGATGCTAATCAGATTAATCAATGCAGATTACATGAGGTTAAATCGTTGTATTATGAATAATATATCCTTAATACTAGTACATAGTTAATTTGCTGTAAAAGAAACATTAACACATGAAAAGTAATACTTGCAGTTAATAATACTTCACAAATCAATATGAGATGTCCTTGAAAGTCGGAATCCGAGTCTGATGCGAAATACGGCACAGAATTATGCCAGTTAAGTTGAGAAAAGGCTTCACAGTCGCCACTGATCGAGTTAGCTCTCAACTTAATCTGGCGAGTGGAGCTTCTGTGAGAACCGAACTCAGCTTTCATCGTTTCCCCATCGAAAACTTGTTGTTGATGGTTGAATTGCCGGACAGTACGGTACGTCAGGCTCGGGATCTATACCCTAAACTGGAAAACGCTGAGAGAGGCCTTGTAAATGGTAGGCTAGCTAAGTTAGGACTTATGCTTGGAGAACGCGTAGCACAACTTGATGTTTATGATCAGAGGTGTTTATCTTTGACCGTTACCCGTACTTGTCCTTGACTAATGTCAGCGTAGCTTCCGTAGACTTAGTAGATCACTGCTACCGATTGTTGAAGTCTCATCATCTTCCGTAAGCCGCACACGTCGGGGATTTCTTGATTTGGTCGCCAACTGTGCACCTTCGCCAAACTGTCCGCTATCGCCCCCCGGTATTCAACATTTCTGCTATTAATTTAGTTTTGGCTTTGATTTCTTCAACAAATTTGAATAGACTACCATTCAAGTTTGATTGCGCGGTTGGGTTCATAATGTAAATGCACTTGCAATACCGATAATAAATACTTTGAAAGTTAGTAAATGATATTCATCTCCATGACAATGGATTAGTTGTGAATAAAGAGAACATATGATTAACTACCTTTAATCAATGAATAACACTTTTTTACCGCACAGGTATCACAGTTTAAAGGTTTAAGTTCAGGTATCACACGAAATAACATCGTCAGGAAGTCAATGTCTGTTGTCTGCACTAAAAAAGTAATTAATTTAATGTACCTGCATGAGAATACGTCTGACTTTTTTAACCGCCATGCGAATTTGTGCAGTAGTTTACTTCTGCACTTAAGACTTATACCTAGACTTGTTGATCACGGTCTGCCACATAGACAGCTGAGCTTCGTTACATACGTATTTATTTAACGTGTATCTTTCTCAGCCCTTTATAAATAGCCCTCTTAGCCCAAAAGTTTGAAGCGCAGTTTCATTTTCTGCAACTTAATTTGACTGCGATCTACTAACAAAACTCATCATATTACTCACAGTTCAGTCATGCAAAAATTCTGAACTAGGATGCTGTTGTTAAATAAAAAGAGCTTCATTTTAGATTTATAATGCGTTAATACCCACTATGAAACTACAGATCAGTCCAGCAACATTCTGCGTCTTTTTCTTCAGGCAATTAGTGCGCAGCAACCACGAACACGCTTTGTTCTACGCCAATCGCCGTCCTGAATATTGGCTATCTGGTCCCTATTTTATTGACGAGACAACACGATCTCTGTTTTATAGATGGGCTAATTAACAGCGTGCTGCGTGTAACTCAGTGCCAAGCCTAATGCTGATCCCTGCGCGTCTTGGCATTCATGAATTGCATTCATTTGTACAATTTTACAGGTCTGTGGATAGAAAATAAAGCATTCAATAAATAAGAGAGGGTTAAGTCTCATAAAAAATGAAGATGTTTTTCCATGAATGATTTATTTCAAATTAGTTTCACATGCATCTATTGTGACGGTGTTATCTAGCGTGACAGGGTTACACGACGTGATGGTGTTATCTAGCGTAACAGGGTTACACGACGTGACGGTGTTATCTAGCGTGACAGGGTTACACAACATGATGGTGTTATCTTGCGTGACAGGGTTACACAACATGATGGTGTACCGTGTTATCTTGCGTGACAGGGTTACACGACGTGATGGTGTTATCTAGCGTGACAGGATTACACAACATGATGGTGTTATCTAGCGTGAAAGGGTTACACAACATGATGGTATTATCTAGCGTAACGGGGTTACAGGCGCCATGAAAAGATTACCGGCGTAACATGGTTATCAATTGGGCTAGTGTAACCAGGAATTTCTTGGGAACAGAAATTTGTAAGAAAACCACACGACAGCAAATTCAAATGTTATATCTACAATTCTTAAGCGCCTAAATACCATACGCTGGTATCTGGTCAGGAGAAAATGTCCCGATAACAGCGCCACAAACCGACCAACCATTATTCTAAAATTTTCATTAGAAAACTGGTGTCGATGGGGGATGTCTGGCATTGATAATCACTGTGACTCCCCAAATACTTTAAGAATTTTTGTGCTATGCAGGAATCTCAAATAATTTAGGTGAAAAAACTTCAAGGGACTAGTTTATTTTAGGCGAATGTGAGCTGGCACTGTTGAAGCCTATCAATATTTCTAATGTAATTAAGAATCAAAGTTACGACTGATTTAAATTCATAAAGGACTTCGAGCATTTCTTTTCTGTTGTCATGTATTAGTGTTTTGTGGTAGGAAATAAATTGGACAAAGCAAAAATTACAAAAAATATTCGTGGGTGTTTCCTGAAATATGATTTCAACCCGAACTCTGGGTTGAAACTCTAGGATGAATTTTAATGAATTTGTAGATTTGTAATTGTAGCTTTGGGCATTCACAACACATCATATCACGGTACTTGAATTAATCAATACAATACATGATATTAAAAAAAGTTTTCCATGAGATTCTATATGATGGAAAATACAGAATTCAGGTTGGCCAAATAATTTGGAAACGAGAGAACTGCACAAAAACTTATTTAGAAGAGTCAGTTACAGTAAAAATGTACGAAACACTACAGGCATCCCTCACTCAAACCCTTAATACCTTTGAATTCATCCCTCACTCGGGCCCCTAACACCGCATTCATACCTCACTGGAGTTTTTTCTCTAAAATTTCGCTCACGAGAAATTTCAATGTCATTAATCTGAATTTTAGAAGAAACAAGTGAAAAAGGCTTACACAAGGTTTGACTGCTACTTCGGTTTACCGTAGTTTACTCTACCTAAGTTAACCTTACTTTGCCTATACTGGGATTCTTGCATAAACTTTCTCCATATCAAACAAAACAAACTGCTGCACCAGATTAACCTGCTGTTAATCGATGTTTTCTTCCATCACGTGAATTAAAATTTTCATAGGAAATGAATAAATTAGAAATTTATTTAGCGTTATAGTCAATTAGATCGTTTTGTTGATTTTCTAATGTAAGACAACTTATAATGCAAACATAGCTATTGTCTAAATTTATAAGTATAAATTAATGATCCATTTACTTCGGTGAAATCTTGTGGAGAAATTTGCCTAAAAAGCCTGATGCTACAGCATGCGAATAATTTTGTAGGAGGTTTTTCAAGCGTCTTCAGCTTACCATTGAATTTAATGTGATGCGTACTTATAGAGTAAAAGTTATTTGTAAATTTCTGTAATAATATTAAGCTATATTTAACCTGTGCTACTCTAACTTTAAGTTCCATTTTGCGAATCGAGTCAAAAGGTTTCGTCTGGAAAAATTTTTATGGATACACAATTCATTGCATTTTTAATATTGAAGGTAATTAACGATAAAAAATAAATATAACTTAGTACTCTGCAGTGAGTGACCGAGAGCGCTTTTTCTCGAGGACAAAAACATGAAGTCGCGGACAGACGGACAGACAGACGGACATGATGAGCACGGCATTTTTTCTATAAATAAGAAAATGCTCTAAAACAGTATCGCAAAAAAACATAGCTAAAAAAATTCCTTGATCATTTTTAGGAAATTGCACCGGGCCCAAAATGATGATGAATAATAGTTATGAGTAAGTCACGTCAAGAGGCCTTGGATGTTGAGATACCGTGGAAAAAATATTCACATATGAAACGATAACTCCCACACCTGATAAAAATCCTTACCCATCATTGGCGCCTAATGCCCGACGTCATTGTATTACCCGCCAATGATTGGGCGATTGTTCCTCGTCACTGAGGTCATGAACTTCCATTGGCCCTCGTCCCTTAATGCACGTAGGAGGGAAGGCTCCAGAAGCTATAAAAGGTAGCGAGCTCGAAGAAGAGATCTTAGAGAAGTGTTACCTGTTGCGCTGAGAGGTCCGGCGTATCTGTGGCTCCTGGTGGATTCTAGTTGCGCGAGCGACACGTGTTGAGTCAGTTCGACAATTTCGCCTCTTCATTGCAAAAATATTACGGTAAGTAAATCTTATAGCTGAATAAAATTATATTTTATCAAAATAAGAAAAGAGTGACGCCAAATCATCAGATCCTGGTGAAAAAACGGACCTTGAAGAGACACCAGCTGGAGATTTAATAATTAACCATTTTAATAAACCATTATTCACGTAGTAATCGAAATGATCGTTTCGAATAAGAGTTACTCGGCTTCCTTTGATAACAGAACTTGCGATTACTGCGCAGAGATTAGGTCTTCAGATTATGGTTGACTGGAGAAAAATCGTTCGTAGTGCAAGTTGATGAATCCTGAAATTTTATGCCAATAAAACTTATCAACTTATACTTGATATAATTATACATATATATGTATATAAATACTTATACTATATACTTGTACAACTTACTGCGCTTTGCTGAAAGCTACCAACTTGTTACGTCGTCCGATGTTAATTTGCGTTGTGCAGGATAAACTGAAGCTCTGGCCAGCATAAGGGCTTGTAAAGTCAACAAATATGTATGCGTATTGTCTCGGGACATACCACGTGCGAATTAATACTTTTCATTAGATATTGAAGTAAAAGTTTCAATAGAAATCCTGAATTTAACTCAAGGAACATTTCTGCTTAATGGCTGAAATCGCGGTCGTCAGTTTAGTTTATTTTCTTGTGCCATTTTGTTTTTCAAGTACTCATGTTTGATAGCCAGGCAATTGTAAGGTTTTTCATTTCAGCTCACAAATAATGTGCTCTGTCTGAGGCCCCTACAATAATAATTTTCAGGCCTAATTTCCAGTAGGCTGTAACTACTTCCGAATTAAATTCGTCAGAATTCATGACAGTTTTCCAGCTACGGTTAAGTCGCCTTTTTGTCGCCGCGCATTATAAGTTCTTGATATTTTGGCCTGACAAGCACCTGAACTTATCGGTCGTGCCGTCCTGGACAGGATATTACGCTATTTATCAAATAGCGTCAAAGATGAGGTAAAGTCGAACGCGGTCGCCCAGCGATTAGTGAGAACGCATCGCTTGCTTAGCCGCTAAGCCTCTCACCTAAAAAAAATCAACAGCTTTCGGTCATCGTATTAGGAAAGTTTATTTGCACTTCGTTGTTTACGGTCTCTGAAAATTAGTATAATTTTTTATACCTTTTACATATTTTGCTCATGACTCCAAATGTATTTTTTCAGTTTTCACATTACTTTGGAATCCAAGCGGAGCTCTTTTACTCGCCTATCAACTGCAAGAACCTCCGACAATGAGTACGGCGACGAGTTCAGAGAAAATTGTTGATAATTGAACTCACTAGAGGAATTCGTTCACAACAGTGCAAACTTTGCATTGCTTTGTTTCATGATGTAACAAATTTTGAGTATACGTCTTGTAAACTTGTAGGATTTGAAGTTGAAAGTTTTTTTTTCATTTGAAAATTTTAAGCGTAAGTATAAAAAGTGTTTGAAAGAATCTCCTGCCAAAAATTTTTATTGGTCCAGAGTGAAATTTCTTTAGACTTTCCAAGATTCTATATGTATCCAAACTTGGATTTTGGAGCTTCCTAGAGCACAACTGACTGGATTATTTACAAAAAATATGGAGACGACAGTTTAGGGTTCGATATAACCGAAATTATTTATCGAAATATTTACAATCAAACAAACGAGCAAAAACTTCAGTCTGGCTGATGCCTTTTGTGCTCAAGGTCGGGAAAATGGCGAATTGGATTACCAGTTTTTCGTGGCTCCTTCGGGAATTTTATGTTTATATTGTCAAGGGAGAAAAACAAAACTCCATTCCAGAAGAAAATATCGTTGTTATTCCCTACCAAAGAGCTTTGGTGAACTATCGAAAACTCCATGTGCCCAAAAATCTATTTACAACGCAAGCCCTTGGGGTAGCGCTAGGGTGCATACGGTGAAGGACATATATTCCATGTTCTTAAACACGAGGTAGAAGTGAACTAAATGAAGTAGCTGTAACCTCAGTAGTTTGGAGTTGTGAAGTATTTTTACTATATAGGGAAAAGTGCATTTCATTCCTGTTGCGCAAATATTTTTCTCTGAAAATTCAATCAAGTATATCGGGAAACCAACATGCAGCTTTCAGCATAATTTTGTGTAAAACTGGGAAGTATATTTAATCCTGGAAGGATAACGTGATGGCGATAAAGAACAGCAATTTATTCGTGATAATTTAGAAAAAGTAAAAATACAAACATAAAATGAATGTGAGCTGACGCCATCTATCCATTGATCACTCCAGCCATACTGCCCCTGTAAGCCAAACGATATTTTAAGCCTAAATGGAAAAAATACCGTACAAATAACTATAACATGACAAAACTTGCAACAAGTCCAGCAGCTATCTCAATCAATCGTCAGTTAGGAAAGATCGGGTTCAAAGGGTAGGATCCTCTGTGGAATCAAGTCACAAAAAGTACAAGAATCGACACAAGCCTTGGGCCTATTTCTTCAGGGCCGACACTTCTATTCTAATGTCATATTTGTAATTCTGACTCATTCAGTCCAGCATGCTTGCCTCTTTCTCTGCAACCAAAATCTTTTTAATAAACCCGTTCTGACCATGTTTATGGGGTCATTTTCGCCCAGCGTTCACCCACTGCCCTCCAGTCCATCCGCAGGTGGCAAGACTGTCCACCCCGGCTACAGTACAAGACCAACAACTGCGCTGGAGATTCCTTTAATATTTTAGCCTCTGCAAGAGACGACGTTCATTGTTCTGGCGCTCTGTCAAGCATCACTACCTCTCTATAGTCGCGTGGAAACTCTGAGAAAGTAACTTGAAGATTTGCACATTTATGAAAAGAAGTTATTTCTTGCATTTTGCTCATTTGTTATTAAAATAAATTCGTCTCCTGAAAACGAAAAAATCGAAAAAAATTCATTGTTTGTGACGAAAAAATTGTTAAAAATAAGGAAATTTTGATGCTGATACACACTAAAACAGTCCAATTTATCCCATTTCATGCCCACAGTTTCTGCTGTAGCATAAGTCATGTCCTCAGTTAATGCTGTAGCATAAGTCATGCCCACAATTAGTGCCGTGGCATGCTCAGTTAGCAGGACTCTAAACATTATCATAGTTCGCTCATGGCACTCAGAAGTAGACATTTAAAATAAAAACTAGTAATCTAAACCTATTAATAATTTATTGCTTCAGTAATCACTCACGAACAATTATTATCTCGAAAAAAAAAAATAATTCACGAATTATTTACTAATTTCAATGAGGTTATAGGATGCGATATTTACATCATCAAAACCACAATTTTCAGTCCCTGTTGCTCACTTCTTCAATGTTTACATTCACTCATTGTCAGAAAATGATACTGGACTGCAAACAGACGCATGATGGTATCGTATCGTAAACATCGATCTAAGCTTGAAGGTTTCATGGTTATTCAACAATTTTCGCATTTGAAATATAATCAGATTTTTTCTTATAAAAGCTCAACAACGTCCAAACTTTTGAGTTTTGAATGATGTCCTACCAATAACAGAGTTTAAATTCGCTAAGTTTTAACTTAGAGCAGTAAAATGTAACGGTTAAAACTTTTCGAGAAATAACATGAAATCGATTCAGTTCTATGAGTAACATGTACGAAAATATCATTTACACTTATCATATTATGGACTGAATATTGGTATGCAGCATTCCCAGTTGCACGCCAACGCGGTCGTAGCTATCCTTGCTATTCTTCTCAAGTGCCAACAATTTCTGTTGAAATAAAGTCAACTCGTGTATAAATATTAATTTGATGACAAGAATACTTAAACTAGATCCGAAATCAAATTTAGGTTGGAAGTTTATAATATAGATCGCCAATTTAGCACAGTTCACACACTCATTAAAAGATGAATTTTTTTACCGGAGGCATATGCCAGCAAAGCATAATTACGTCGTTCCGTTTGCACAACATTCTTTACACGCATTTTACCGAATTACCAACAAAATACGGTGAGCTGGGGTTCCATTGCACTTTGGCTCCATGGATAGGCATGTACATTGAGTACAATAATACGCCGCATATATATAAATATACGCATGGATTACATGCCTTACGCAATTATCCATTCATGAAGTATATTTATATTGTGCTTCTACCGCAAGCAGTAGCCTCACAATCTCAATGGCCATTAAAGCCTTGGCCTGGCGCCCGGCCGGCCTGTGGCCCTCATGCATTGTTGATGCGCCTGTGGACTTGAATTTATGACACGCAATTTATTTCCTCAGGTCAGCTCAGTGCAATAAAGAGCAACTAATTTAAAAACCACCAGGGATGAAGCATTTATTTATTCAACGACATCCGCACAAGCGATTCATTATTCTATTATTTGAATATATATGATTCTTAAAAATTCTGTTAGTACTATAAAAACTGTAGCCGATCTGATACAGATTATAATTTATATAATCATTTAGAGAATTGAACCACGTTACGTATTAGAATTTAGTGCTCTGAGTCCACGGCAGAGGACGTATTATTTAATTAGTGGCAACGCTTCATTGGAAAAATTGGAATGACCCCATCAGAAAGATTAACTTTGACGATTATCTACGATAAAAATTTATCTTTGTTAGTGAAGCGTACGTTAATACTTAGGTCGAAAAATCCTTGGTAAATTGTTCTTGTATTTTTTACATCATTAGTTTGCTTAAATCGCAAGTTAGCAAAAATAAAGGGTCAAATTAACATGAAATTATTTAATTTATCTAAGAATTTCAGTTCTTCCAGTCGTTCATCTTCACTTGGTTCTAAAAACCCTTATTGATTGCAAATAAAAAAGCAGACTTTGGTTAGCCGCAGAGTTTATCTTCCTAAAAGGAAGTTTAATCTTAGGTTGCCTCGGACTCAAGAATTAACATCTTAGGATTCCTCGGCTAGGAGTTACTTACTTGCCATGTTGTGCGTTTCTTTTTCCTTGCATTTGTAGAATTTAATCTTCTTTTCAAGATAAGAACAGCAAGGTCAACCTCACTGCTTACGTTCTATTAATTTTTCT